CATTCTCAGCAGTGCTCAGGGATTTATTTTCCTTGACTCCAGCAATACTGTGGCATAACAATTAATGTGTCCATACATTGCATCCATGCGTCATAACATTGACAACACAGATACATACGACACAATCTCATTTATTTTGAGATCATTGCGCCATGAATTTCATACATCATGACATTATATGCAACTAACTTTTCATCTTTTTCGGGAAAGATCAATCAACAAAGAATTATCGTCAAATTTTCAACAAGTCCATTACAGATTAATTCCCAAGAAAGGATTGGTCAACCATCTACATAACAGATTCTTCTCCAGATCCATGTTGGTTCAGTTTAAATCTCTTAACGGTTTATTCTGATTCTTTCCCGTAGACGTCCTCTCTGGTTCAGATAAATCTCCCAACGATTTATTCTGATTCTTCTCCAGATCCCTGTCGGTTCAGTTTAAACCTCTCAATGGTTTATTTTGATTCTTTCCCGCGGACGTCTTCTCTGGTTCAGATAAATCTCTCATTGATTTGTTCTGATTCTTCTCCAGATCCCTGCCAGTTCAGTTTAAATCTCTCAACAGTTTATTTTGATTCTTTCCCGCAGAAGTCTTCTCTGGTTAAAATAAATCTCTCAATGATTTATTCTGATTATTCTCCATATCCCTGCCGGTTTAGTTTAAATATCTCAACGGTTTATCCTGATTCTTTCCCGCAGACGCTTTCTCTGGTTCAGATAAATCACTCAAAGATTTACTCTGATTCTTTCCAGTTAAAGAATATTCAAGATCTCTTTTGGTTCAGTTTAAACCCCTCAATGGTTTATCTTGATACTTTACAAAGGAACACTTCGGGTTCAGATAAATCTCTCAACGGTTTATTCTTATTCTTTCCCGCAGACGCTTTCTCTGGTTCAGATAAATCGCTCAGAGATTTACTCTAATTCTTTCCAATTAAAGAATATTCAAGATCTCTTTTGGTTAAGTTTAAACCCTTCAATGGTTTATCCTGATACTTTCCAAAGGAACACTTCTGGTTCAGATAAATATCTCAATGATTTATTCTGATTCTTCCCAGTCAAACAACATACAATACTTCTTCTGGCTCAGATAAGTCGCTCCAAAGATTTATTCTGATTCTTTTCCAGTTGAAATCAAGTTCAGACTTAGTCCATTTTCTGTCAACGGTCACCTTTGGATGGCATCTACAAGCCCATCTCCGGAAAATCTCCATCATTCCTCCAAATCGAATCTATAAGCCCATTCACAATTCATCTTCGAGTGCAAATTCCTGGGCACTCTAGTGTCCAATCATCTTCCACCTTCAAGTCACGAATGGCGGATCCGCCAATCTAACTCTTCAGGTTTAAGAAGATTGAACAGGGGCAGCTGTTGTACCCCAAAATTTTCCCTCTCATTTATCAAGTATTTTCTCTCAAGATCTCCTTTGGTTCAAGACTGCACAAAGATTGATCAACTCAAGACACCTCCTTAAGCACTGATGACTGAAATTAGGGTTTGAGATTGCACAAGGATAATTGAACTTTTAATGCCTCATGTGACTTTCATGGATCATTATGGACCCTCAAGATTACTCATGTCAAGTTTCAAGTCTTGTATCACATTTTTGCTCAGTCAATTGAGCAGTTGACCTAAATATTAACTGTATTGGCGAAAAAGTCAATTGTGGCCAATTTACAGTCAAACTTCATAATTTTTTATCCATATCAATATTATAAACTCATATGTATCATTTGATCAAGTTTGGACCATAATTCTTCAAGAAATTTGATCATATCATCAAAAGGGCAAAATGGTCAAAATTTGGGTTTTGACTGAGAAAGGGCAATTTCTGATTTCTGACCTAGCAAATGGTTAATTGGTTTGAGGCATGATCTCAAGAGTTCAATTGCATAATTTTTACCTAATGGCATGACTCAAAACATCCCTCAAGATCAATTGATTGATAGTTGATTTTCAGTCAATTGATCAAAAGTCAACTATACACTGAAAAGTCAAACTTTGACTTTTTGGTCAAAATCAAGTGTTAAAGATCACAATTCATCAAAACATGTCAAAATATGAAACTTGTTCATCGAGAAATCAAAAATTCAAGATTTCATTTTGAAAAGTCAAAGTTTCCAAACTTAGAAATTTTTCGAAGTGTTGAAAACTTCATGTTTTTTCACATCTTTGAGCCAATTTTTCACCATAATGCAAGATGATTCAAAAGAAAATTTCAACATGAAAGTTATAGATCTCCATGAGATCTAAAACATTTCTTTACACAACTTCTCCTAGAAATGCTTGGATCTCAAGTTATTAATCCATGAAGTCATGGTCATGAAACTAAACACTTAGTGAAAATTTTGCCCTAGTTTAGGCAGGATTTTGACCTAACTTCATGGCAATTTTTCATATAGTTCCAAGGGGAATTTTCAAAAGTGATTCAAACAGGGGTTGTAGAGCACACTACAAGCTTTCTAAAATGTCCAATAACTCCTTGAGATCATGTTTGAGCAAGGAGAATCGAAGGCATGAAGTTGGCATTTCATTCTTGAATTATAGGTCATTTTCATGATGAACAAGAATGCAATTTCAATGTTAGGCTGCATAATCTTGCTTTGCAGGCCTTCTAACTTGTGTATATATCCATAATTAATTGATTACATAAACTTTTGAGCTATAATCCTGTAGCGGTGAAAATCGGAGATCAAGCTATTAATTAACTTGACTCACAAAAGCAAGAGTCGCCACCACGCTTTATTATATCCAAGGGAAAAGGGAAAAGTGCGAAATAAAACCCTAAAATATGCAATGTAAAATAATACTTGAAAGTAATGAAAGTACAATGCATTTTTGAAAGAGATCGAGAGTTCAGGGGTTGATTATACAATGGGAAGGTATTAGCACCCAATGCATCTGCGGTACTCCGCAGGAACCTTTTTGAAATATCTGTTTTTTTGGTTAAAATTGTTTGTTTGATTAAAATGGTTCGTTTGGCTAAAAATCGGTGTTGGAGAGATTTTGAAGATGCGACGACCTAGTGTTGAAGTTTTGACTTAAAAGGGGTGTGAGTTTAAAAATTGATTTGTAGGAGTTTCGTCTTAAGATTAATAAAACTAAAAAAAGGGTGTGAAGGGATTTCACATAATCGTATTAGATACTCAATGACATGAAGTCAACAAATTAATTCTTTCCCTTGGATTAAATCGAGCGAGCAAAATAAAATAGACATCAAAATATAAGCAATCAGAATTCACAAGAAAATAAATATAACGAAACAGATTAATGACCTAAAGGCATCGAGAAATTAAAATGACAAAGATATTTAAATAAAATAAAAGAGAATGTAACTAATTATCTAAAGAAGTTATTTAAACTATATTAAAAATTTAAGATTACTTACTAAAAAATTTCTAAACTAACTACAAATTCTAAGGTTGCAAAAATAGTTCTAAAATTACTAAATTAAATCTAAGCTAAATTAAACATTTTAAAATTAGTAAATTAAATCTAAACTAAATAAAAATTCCAAGGTTGCTAATCTAAAACAAAAAAAGTTCCAAAGTTACTAAACTAAATCTAAATCAAATAAAATTCTAAAAGAATATTAAACTAATTCTAAACAACTAAAATTCTAAACTTATTAAACTAATTCTAAATCAAATAAAATTCTAAAGTCCCTAAACTAAAACTAACAACTAAAATTCTAAAGTTAACTTAAATAAAATCCAATAAAATTCTAAAGTTTACTAAATTAAAACTAAAACAAATAAAATTCTAAAATTTACTAAGTCAAATCTAAATGAAATAAAATCCTAAAGTTACTAAAATAAAACTAAACAAAATAAAATTCTAAAGTTTACTAAGTCAAAAACTAAAAAAAAATAAAACTCTAAAATTTACTAAGTCAAATCTAAATGAAATAAAATCCTAAAGTTACTAAAATAAGACTAAAACAAAATAAAATTCTAAAGTTTACTAAGTCAAAACTAAAACAAATAAAACTCTAAAATTTACTAAGTCAAATCTAAATGAAATAAAATCCTAAAGTTACTAAAATAAGACTAAAACAAAATAAAATTCTAAAGTTTACTAAGTCAAAACTAAAACAAATAAAACTCTAAAATTTACTAAGTCAAATCTAAATGAAATAAAATCCTAAAGTTACTAAAATAATACTACAACACATAATAAAATTCTAAAGTTTACTAAACTAAAGCTAAAACAAAAAGTTATAAAATAAATCTAAATTAATACTAAACTAAATTAATTCTAAACTAAAGATTAAAATTCTAAGACTAAATTAAAATTCTAAAGTTATCAAAATGTATCTACACTAATTAGAAGTTCTAAAGTTATAAAATAGATCTAAACGAATTGAAATTTCTAAAGTTATTAAATTAAGTCTGAAATTAATCTAAATAATTAAGATTATCTAGTTAAATTAAACATAATTATTTAATTAAATCTATAAAATAACTAAATTAACTAAACTAATTAGTATTTAAAATAAATAAATTGAAATGTTGTAACTAATAATTATTGGAGGCAGTAAAGAGAGTAATTTGGGCTGGACTTTGGGGATAAGAGCTGGCCCAAATGTTTTATTACTGCAATCAGCAACATAACAAACAAAATAAAAAAATTGTGAATAAAAAAAATGAAACGGAAAACAGAAAACGGGTAAAGGCCCATTGGATATTGGAAAAGTAAAACCTTAGTGAAAACACTAAGCAGCCGCTTACTCATCTTTCTCATTCCACCTTCACGATTTCTATCTCTCTCTATTCTTCACTTTGTTTCTCATCAATCTAAGAAGCTTTCTCATAACAAACCCAACAGTATTCATAAACAAATTAAAGACCACAAAAATCAAAAGATCAAAGTAAATATTACCGATGATATGATTTAGATCGAAGGGATATGCGAAGAGCTTCGGTCCAAACTTTCGGCGGAGAGGGTCGTAGGCTACGTACAAAGTGTGGTTTTGCAGTGGGTCCGGCGAATCATGAATGAAGGTGGGTCTCGAATCTCCTATTCTTCCTTTTTTTACTTCTGGTGTTGAAGTTGTTGTGTGCCTTACAATTGAAACCCGGTTGGGACTCGTGACGGTTTCTGACGAGAAGCTCAAAAGTTCAGCAGTCCCAAGTATCTCAGGTACACATCCTTTTTTGCATTTATGTTTATTCTGTTTGTGATCTTATATGATTGTATGAGGCTTGCAGTGGAGATAATGTATTCAGGGTTTGCAATTTTGATAGAGAAGTTTGAAGGGTGGTGAAACGATTTATTCAGAGTTTAAGGTGAGTTGTTGAAGGTTGAAGGTGGCTGTGAAGAGAGTGGAGGTTAATTGAAGATTGGTGGATTGCTGCTATGGATATACTGAAGATGAGAGATTATGTTAGCTAATGTTAGTTTTTTTGTGTCTTTGTGTGTTTCTACCTTGTGATCTCCTCTCCTCTTTTCTCCGTTCTTCCCTTTTTTAATATCAGTCGCCTTCCCTTTATATGAAATAAGTGTAGTTTTGGGGGGAAAATTGGTGAGTCTTTGAACAAATTTGATATGCTGATATGTGGCTTTTTCATACAGGTTTTGTTTTAACCAACTTTGTGTAATTTTTTTCACTGGTGAGGTGCAGATTAGGACTGATAATGGTGTAGGTTTTGTGGCATTTGTGGAATATTTTTTTTGCAGAGTTTTTGCAGGTTATGGACAGTAACAAAATTATAGCAGGTTTAGGGATATGGGCTGGCTTTTTTTTTTTGGGTGCAGCAGCATGGTTAAAAAATGGGCAGTAAGAAAACATTGTCATGGACTGATTTTTGCAGACTGGTTTTAAAGCAACAAGGATTGTGGACAAGGAAAGGTCACAATTTTCTTTCTCTATTTTTGACAAAAACAAACAAATAATAACATAATAGTAACAATAATATAAGAAGAAGAAAAAAGTATTAGTAACAATAAATAAAATAGAATAATAAAATGCAACAATGATAATAACAATAATGAGAACAAAAATAAAAATAATTAGTAACAATAAAAGATGAAATAATAAAATGCAATAAAGATACTAATAATAATAATAATAATAATAATAATGAGAAAAAGGGAAAATAGTTAGTAATATCTAAAAGAAATAGAAATAGATTAAAATAAGAAAATAATAATAATAAGACAGATTTTTGAACTAAAACAAATTCATTGGAAATATGATAGAAAATGAAAATGATAAACTATTTTAATTCTTTTTTCTTTTTTTTAAATAGAAATTAAAATGATGAATAAAAACAAGAAAGTATGCGAAATGATCGATTTTTCAAATTAACGACAAAATATGCACTAGTCGAAAAAAGTGAAGGGGCAAAAAATGGGGTGCGACAGTTGTGCCTTGATGAATCAGTCTTCGAGAATCCATAATCAACCGTACTTTTGGCTTGGGAGACTCAAAACCTTAATTGAGGCGCGACACCTGATGCTCTTGATTCAGACCTGTCTCTGCACATGACACAAAAGAAAACATGAACATACACCTTTGTATGCGATTAGAAATTAGTGATACATATGCTAAAAATGTTCAAAACACTTGACAATCTTCGCATAGTCAAAGCTCAAAGGTGAGACGTTAAAACCGACCGTATTTCGTGACCTTGACTTATCTTAAACAAATGCAAAAATAAAAATGGGATCTTAGGTCAAAAATTGGGGTACAACAGCTGCCCCTATTTAAGTTTCTTCTATCTGGAGATATGAAGATTGGGATCTTCATTTCGACGAGATTGAAGGGACTTAAATATAGAATACACAATTTTTGGCCTTAAGATACCGCGATTATGTTCATGATATGATATGAATGTAATGCTCTGAATTTTATGGGGAATGACGCCATATGAGACAGACTATGCTGGAGAAACCAAGCACATTATACAATAATCCCACAGAGGAAGAGGTTGTAACTCCACTGGGGAAACAAAGTCATAGACTTCAAATGAGAGACTCTTGAATGATTTACATCAATATTGGGACTGGAAAAGGTAATGATTTACAACAGTACTGTGACTGGAAAAGCATATGATTGACATCAGTACTGTGACTGGAAAAGGAAATGATGGACATCAGTACTGAGACTGGAAAATGATTGACATCAGCACTGTGGCTGGAAAACAAAATGATCGACATCAGCACTGTGGCTGGAAAACAAAATGATTGACATCAGCACTGTGGCTGGAGATAAACATCTTTGATTTTTGAATTTTACCAAGAACGGTAACACATTTCTTCTTTAACCAAGATATCGCTTGAAAAGGATAAAATAACAAACTTCCCCACGGGACTTTTCCAAAAGGGATGCCATTTGCTGAGTAGACATTATTGTTGGGGGTACACAAACTGCTCGAATAAAGAGGCCGCCACTTGCTTCCTTTCAAAGGTGTTAATAACGTACAAGTTGCTTATGAAGAGACCGCCGCTTGTTGTTTATTTTCAAAATTACCAATAACACACAAGTTGCTCATGAAGAGACCGCCGCTTGTTGTTTTCTTTTCAAAATTACCAATAACACACAAGTTGCTCATGAAGAGGCCGCCGCTTGCTGTTTTCTTTTCAAAATTACCAATAACACACAAGTTGCTCATGAAGAGACCGCCGCTTGTTGTTTCTCAAAGATATTAATAACATACAAGTTGCTCAAATACAGGGGCCGCCACTTGCTACTTATAACCCACAAGCTGCTCATGAAGAGCTGCCACTTGCTGTCTTCAAAGAATATCAAAGCACACAAGCTACTCATGAAGAGTCCGCCACTTGTTGCCAATAACCCACAAGCTGCTCATGAAGAGCTGCCACTTGCTGTCTTCAAAGAATATTAAAACACACAAGCTACTCATGAAGAGTCCGCCACTTGTTGCCAATAACTCACAAGCTGCTCATGAAGAGCTGCCACTTGCCATCTTCAAAGAATATTAAAGCACACAAGCTACTCATGAAGAGTCCGCCACTTGTTGCTTATAACCCACAAGCTGCTCATGAAGAGCTGCCACTTGCTGTCTTCAAAGAATATTAAAACACACAAGCTACTCATGAAGAGTCCGCCACTTGTTGCCAATAACTCACAAGCTGCTCATGAAGAGCTGCCACTTGCCATTTTCCATACAAGCTGCTCATGAAGAGCTGCCACTTGCTGTCTTCAAAGAAAAATAACGTACAAGCTACCCATGAAAGGACTGCCACTTGCCGTTTTTTCGAGGTGTCAATAATATACAAGTTGCCTCGGGAAGAGACTTCCGCTTGCTGTTTGTCAAGAGTATCCATAACACACAAGTTGCCTCATGAAGAGACTGCCGCTTGCTATTTCCCAAAAAGATACCCATAAAATATCGTGAAGATATTGCTGGAGGTGAGAACCAATAATTTCATCGAGGAAGGACAAACTGCTCATGAAGAGACCGCCATTTGTCGTAGAGAAATCAGAAATAATCAAACTGCTCAAATAAAGAGTCAGTCGCTTGTTGTCATGTCGATATTCCAGAAGAAGGTTATGATAACACTACTAGGGAATAAAGTTCATCTTCAATGGGGAACTATGAATAAATCCTTCCTGAGGAGACCAAGTATTTACATACGCAAGATCAATGCACTCTCCATCTAGGTTTCCCAGCCTAGAGAGATCCACAGGGTATCGTTCACAAGAGACAAAGCTCAATCCAGGAATAAATTGGAGAGAAACCAGTCAAACAAGACTCCATCCAATGAGGAAACAACTCAAATGGGGATTTATCCTGTCCAGAGATGGAAAAGGAAAGCTAAAGCAAGATTCTTCCACGAGGGTTAACTCAGTGGGGAATTAGAAAAGAGGCGCACTTTCTGCTTAAGTTGACACTCTATTTGGAAAGATCAAATATGCTATTTGAATAGACATAACCAAGGTATACGAACTCAAAGATATCAACAAATACAAATGTGCGTGCATGATGCAAGTATGAACGAATGAATGAATGTCATGTATATGTTGACAAAACAAACAGGGGAGATAGACAGAAGATGATAAGACGTCCCAGTACAACCCGACGCTCAGCTAATCTCAACAAAAGGGGAACATTACTGGAGATAAAACACAGGCCATCATTGGAGCAAGGTCCTTTTATAAGGCGTAAATATCTATGGAGGGAAAGATATTTTCAGGTAGAAAACCCAAAGTCTAGTCTTCTATTGCAAACAATCCATTGAAAGGATAACAACACGAACAAAGTTTCAGCTAGAAAGAAGTCTTGCTTAGCTGGAGATACTGGGAACACCACCCTCTGATAATGTGTGCAATACATATCACACATCTTGACAAATCTGGATTGCCCCTGGGACTAATTTTGGATGCCCCAAGTTTACTGTTGATAAGCTGGGTGATGCACGACAATTCTTGCGAATAACTTCACTTCTAAAATGCCCCAAGCTATATGGTTGATGAGGAGAAATCGTCTCAAGAGGATTTTACAAAAGACTTGGCATCCATCGTGCTCTGGTGTCTTCAAACTCTTAGAGAGATTCATCAAATCTCGACGTGATTGCCCCGGATTAAATGTAGTTGGCACAACAAAGTCTTCAAATTTTGCCCCAGTAAAGAGTAAAGAAGTTGGGGAAAGCATTAACTAGGAGAAGCAACATGTCCGTGCTTAAGGTCTTCAGGTGACATGCCCCTGCATATGATTTTTCTTGAAATGATCCGCCAATTACTCAACAGAGCTTCAGGCCTTAAGAATAGACTCATCACTGGTGCTTATATGTGAGTTTCCTTGATATCAAACAAATGTTTTGCAGTTAGAAAATTTTATTATGAGAATGAAAATTCTAATGCAACAGTTATGTAAGTCTTGAAGATTTTGAAAATATATCGCATAAATTTTGCGAGTTAGAGCATCATTTATTTTTGTATAGGAAAAACATATGATACCAACATAATTATTTAGAACATTCATGGGAGTCAGGAACACTATCTCATTGAAGTATGCTTTCAAAATGACCTTGCTTCAATTAGGACTTTTGAAGGTTGTAATATGGTCTGGTTCATGGTTTTAGAAAAAAGGATTTAAGGCTCAAAATATTTAGTGCCCACCCCCTCTTCGTGATGTTCTTCACACCTAAGCTCAGTTAATTGTGCGTCGCACTCTGTTTTGAGTTTGGAACGACCTTTTGGGTGATGGTTCACCAATTGAATTTGGGAGACAGTCATCATCTCCTTTTTCTTTTGCAACATTTTTCATGTTGTTGAGGATTTGTAATGACCTCTCTATT